AGTTGTAATATATTATTATTTATGGATAAACCTTTGAAAATTTAACGTGGTTGACATTTGATTTCGGCAAAAATTACAGTCTAACATCATCGTTATATAAATGACGAAAATAAATAAGAAAATTCCGTTTCCAGTATCATGAAATTTAATTTCTAATTAACTTTTGTAACAATTAATACTTTAGTTTTATATTCTTTTGTAACTAGTAAGAATCAGAAATAGGCTTGTTCCGTGCTAGTTCCTATCTCAATTTTAATCGAAGAAAATAATCTCGAAATGTTTGAAACAACGCAAACCAAACAGCCATGAACAACTTAATTTGAATTAATTTCAAACTGAAAGAATAAACACAATAATAAGAACAAGGGATAAAAAAAAGAAAATAAAATAAAGTCAAAATTGAACAAGAGATTTAACACGAAACTGATAGACATTTAATTTTACATTGAAGGAACTTCTAACAATTGGTTAAAATAAAACTTCTTTTAGTAAATCCCGTGCAGAATATTTTTTTTTGATAAAAGATAGAATAGATTTACTGTATGCTTTATTAAAAATAAACATTTAAAACAAATTTACAATATTGCTATTTAGGATTCTAGAATACAACTTGCATTGATAACTTGTAAAAGTTGAATGGATTGATTAACTTATATTGTGCGATACAGCTGAAATAAGGTATAGTTAAAAATATAATGAGTATTTATTAATAAAACGCTAATCTCGAAAAAAATTAAATTATGTCGGATTAAAATATTTTTAAATATAATATTGCCATTATAAACATTAAACCTGTAATTATATCGAATATATTACTTTTAGAATAGAAAATTATTCGCAATAATATGCTTTTCATTGCTTTCATTTAGTATAGAGAAAATAATGCTGAAAAGCTTGTACCATTATATTTACCCTTATTTAAGGTTTATTATTTTCTACTATTTATGTTGACTGGACCAAAGGATCCAATTTTTTGGTTAGTTCAGTTTTTAGATGAAGTATTAGACAATTCCGAAGTTCTTATGGTATGCTTTATGCTTTATAAAGAAGGATCAATATATTGGAAATTTTGCACGTACTGTATAATTTTTTAACAAAAAATTTGAAAATTTGTTTCCAAGCA